CACTCACCTCAGCCTCCCAAAGGCGTGGGATTACAGGCTGAGCCACCGAGCCCGGTTAACTAACCGCTTTCATCCCTCCAGTCCTCACCCTCAGGAATCAGTCTTCCCTAGAACACTGCTGAGAAATTCTTGCCTTTCAATGGTGATCACCATAACATCTTTTCTTTACAGGGCATATTAGAAATAAGAAAACAACCTTAATCCTGAGGAAGTAGCGATCTCCTGGAAAGACAAGCCTAAGTGAGACTTCAAGTGCTCTTAAAATAGTTGGCTCTCAGCCGGGCTCGGTGGCTCAGCCTGTAATCCCGCGCCTTTGGGAGGCTGAGGTGAGTGGATTGCCTGAGCCTGCGGGTTCGAGACCCACCTGGGCAGCGAGACCTTATCTCTACAATAAATCAAAAATCAGCCGGGCGTGGTAGCGCATGCCTGTAGTTCCAGCTACTTGGAAGGCTGAGGTGGAAGGATCGCCGGAGCCCAGCAGGCTGAGGCTGTGGTGGCCGGGAGCAGCCACTGCACTCCAGTCTGGGCGACAGAGTGAGACTCCAACTCAAAAAAAAAAAAAACAGTTGGCTCTCATTTCTGAGTAATTTTAACCAAGTGACTAAACAGAGAGTCTGAGACTCTTCATCCATATAAATAAAGAGCTATGTTTATCAACTAGGATGAAATAAGAATTAATGATTTAATATTTATAAAGTTACATATGCGCAAGTTAAAATAAAACTTGTTCAGACTGGCAAGAGGAAATATATCTATTCATTTTTTCAAAAAGCATTATCTACTCCGTTCTCACACAGTATTGATACAGTTCATTATTTGGTTAATCCTAAAGTAGCAGCGAATAAACACGAGTATAGGCTCATGTGCTTTTTCATGTCCTTATACATAACAACTACAGGCAGGTAACTGCTTGGGACAGGCAGCTTCCGAAACGGTTCCTTGATTGTCCCTGACTGCTATATCCACACCCTCAGTGATCCCCATTCCCTGAACATGGGCTAGACCTTGTGATTTGCTTCTAACAACCAGTTAAGGCAAAGTGATGCGATGGCCTTTCCATGGTCAGGTGACTATTCTGCGACTTCTGTCTTCCTCACACTCATTCTCTAGCCCTGTCAGCTACATCCTTTGACTGAGTGGGTTGCCATGTAGCAAGGAGCTACATCCTTCAAATATTATGAGAGTAAGCTTAGAAGCAGCTCCTTCCCCCGGAAATGACTATGATACCAGCAAACACCTTGATTACAGCCTGTGAGAAATCCCAAAGCAGATAACTCAGATAAGCTGTTCCCAAATTCCTGGCTCGTAGAAGTTGCAAGATGTTTCAATAAATGTTTAAACCACTAAGTTTTGGGCTAATTTGGCACACAGCAATAGGAAACTAATACACTATTTTAAAAGTTGTATGAACTTTCTGTATTACTAATATTGACTTTTTCCAATCATTTAATCCAGTTTTACACTCTTCCAGAAAATTTCAGATTTGCCAGTCTTTCAGTTTATAGCTCTTTTTTAGATTTTACTTATTAAACAATCTATGCAAAGTTATAAACACATATGTACCAAAACAGAGTTCCAAAATATATGAAGCAAAAACCGACAGAAATGAAAGGAGAAATAGACAATTCAACAATAATAACTGGAGATTTCAATATTCTACTTTCAAGAATGGATAGAATAACATGGCAAGAAGATCTTCAGGGAAACTGAAGTCCTGAACACCATAAAACTAAGCCTAACAAACATCTGTAGAACATGCCACATAACAAAGCAGAATATATATTCTTCTCAAGTACACATGACATATTGTTCAAGACAGACCATATGGTAGGCTGTAAAACAAATCTCAGTAAAACTAAAAAGGACAGAAAAAATACAAAATACAAAGGAAAATCTATAGCTATGATTGTCTATGTTTAAAAAAAAGGAAGTATATAAAATTAAAAACTTAACTTTAAGACACTGGAAAAAGAACTAAACCTAATGCAAGCAGAATAAAAAATAGTAAAGATTAAAACAGAAGTTAATGAAAAAGAAAACAGAAAAGCAACAGAGAAAGTCAATTAAACCAAAAACTGCTTCTAAAAAAAGATAAACAAAGTTGACAAACCTTTATATAATTGATCACAAAAAGAGAAAGAAGTCTCAAATTACTATAATAAGAAATTAATGATGAGACATTACTATAACACTAAATAAATAAAAAGGATTACAAAGGAATATAATAAATAGCTATATACCAACAAATTAGATAATTCAGAATTTAAAAATTCCTAGAAAAATACAAACTACTGAATGGATTCAAGAAATAGACAATCTGAACAGATTCATACAAGAGATGAAACTAATAATCAAAAAACTACCCACACAGAAAAGCCCTCACCCAGATAGCTTCACTCCTGAATTCTACCAAGAAGAAGAAATAAATAATAATTCCTCACAAACTCTTCCAAAAACCAGAAGAGGGAATGCTTCCCAACTCATTCTGTGAGTCCAGTGTTATCTTGATACCAAAGTCTGACAAAGATATTCCAAGGAAAGGATATTAATATGGACTATCTCACATTAAGTTACTAAGTCTACTACTAGTGTGAAGACTACTCAGTTTCTAATCTTTTTGTAAGAGGCAATGCCCTGCTACGTTGTTCAGCTGGAGTGCAGTGGTTATTCACAGGCACGATCCTAGTGCCCCTATAGGCTCGACATCCTGGCCTCAAGTGATCGTCCCACTCCAAGCAGCTCAGACTACAGGCATGCATCACCGTGCTCGGCTCTCAGTTTTTAATCTTGATCCAATGAAGTAATTACTTTTCAAGATTAAACATATAGGGCAAAAGATATGAACAGACACTTCTCAAAAGAAGACATATGAGCAGCCAACAGATATAAGAAAAACTGCTTAGCCTCTTTAATCATCAAAGAAATACAAATCAAAACCACACTGAGATACCACCTAACTCCAGTCAGGATGGTCATCATTAATAACTCAAAACAATCCCCTCCTGGGAATATACCCGGAGGAACTCAAATCACTCTATGAAAAAGATATCTGCACACGCATGTTTACTGCAGCATTATTCATAATAGCAAAAACATGGAGCCAATAATGCTGCCCATTGAAAGAAGTTTTTATAGTATAAAAAAATGTGCTACATTAGCTGGGCTCAGTGGCTCAGCCTGTAATCCCGCGCCTTTGGGAGGCTGAGGTGAGTGGATTGCCTAAGCCCGCGGGTTTGAGACCTGCCTGGGCAGGCGAGACCTCATCTCTACAATAAATCAAAAAAATTAGTCGGGCGTGGTAGCGTGCGCCTGTAGTTCCAGCTACTTGGAAGGCTGAAGCGGAAGGATTGCCGGAGCCCAGCAGGTCGAGACTGTGGTGGCCGGGAGCGGCCACTGTACTCCAGTCTGGGCGACAGTGATACTCCAACTCAAAAAAAAAAAAAAAAGTGCTACATATACATGATGGAATATTACACAGCCATAAAGAAGGACAAAATTACGAACTTCACAGCAACTTGAATGGACTTAGAGGCTCTAATACTGAGTTATCCATCGCAGAAACACATAACTGAGTATCACATGTTCTCATTCATAAGCGGACCTTGAACAATTATCATAATATTATAAGAAAGGGATTGACAGTAGTGGGAAAATGCTGGGGAGGGTGCACACCTCATCAACAAGAGTACCTGCATAATGACCATTTGTATACCTGACCCTTAATTGTACCCCACATTTTTAAAATAAGAAATGAAAATTAGGATTTTAAAGTTTGGTTATTTCACTTCATTGTGAAACCACAATGCTGCTGAATTTCCCTGAAAAGCACTTCTAGAATTCTTTCTCTCTTCTGTTAATTATCTCCTAAGTCGTCTTTTCTTGAGTCTTACACAATTTAAAAGATAAAGATATAAGGAAACAATTTTTTAATAAACTGAAACAGAGTCTATTTTCAAAATAAATATAAATTATATTTAACATGTAATCATGTCCCCATGAATAAAAATCTTTTAACATTTAATACATTCAATTTATAACTGCAATGCAAATATTAGGCAAATAAATATAAAGGTTCCACATTAAGTGTTTCCAACATTAAGCAGCCAACGACTTTGCAAACTCCTGTTCCTATTTTAAATATACAAAATTCAAAAGGAAACTTCTAAGAAGTTTCCCAAATGTATCCTTGCTTCCTTCCAAGATTATAATTCTGAAAAGTAACAGATTAACAAATTTTCAAGGCTAGGAATCTAAAACCTCCTCTGGAAATATCTTTTTTAATGTTTTTGTAAGCTTCAACAGCATCACTAGAATAAGGCTGACCTTACTGATGGGTCGTTCTCCAGGAGTTCAGTCAGTCGCTGTACTTGCTCTGGCTGGATGGACCGCCCTAAGAGTGCTTCTGTATTAGTGTAGATGAGGAACGCTGAGACCACACCCAATAAGGTGCCCACACCCAAAGAACCTAGGCTGTCATACAATGGATTGCCTAAATAAAGCACATAAGAAATCAGTAAATCAACATTTTCTATTATCTCAGTGAGCTTTAAAGAGCAAAGAACCAGAACTACCAAATCAAGTCACTTGAAAGTCAGTCCCAATTTCTTTAATTACCTCCTTTAATAACTCCTAATAGTTTTGTCATACTACAAAATGAGGATGCTACAACTTGCTTCATATTACATAAAGGTATCATGAGACTTGAACATGAGTGGGTTCAGAGCACTTTCTGATTAAAGACACCATAATGCATAATGATGACATCACAAAGAGACAATTTCTTATAGATATATCAACAGCACTTTTCGTATATCAAATAGACAAAATGACCGAAATCCAAAACTGAAACAACCACTTTCTGTGTCTTATACCCACCAATGTTCTGTGAGAAAATAAAGTCCTACAGAAAATGATGTGGGTGACTGTCTTCTCATTCAAACAAGGATGCTGCACAGCTAGTACCAGTCTGGATACAAAGAAGAAAAGTTAACCCAAGATATGTTATGGGTGCCTGAAGGTGGCAGTTCTTACAGTTCCTGGACCAGCAGCATTAGCATCACTTCAGAACTTTGTAGAAATGCAGATTCTCAGGCCTCATGCCAGACCTCTGATTCAGACATTCTGGATGGGGGAGTTCAGTATTTTGTGTTTCCCCAAGCCCTCCATGTGATTCGTATTCTAACGTGTGCCTTGGGTTGTTAAGGCTTAATTCTCTCCCAAAACCATTTATGAAAAAGGCTGATTTACTATCTATAACATATAGGTAATACTTATATAACAGATACCAATACATATTTATAAAAATTTTACACTGTACACAGTTTTTATAATTGGAAGTCTTTTTATTCCAATGGTGAAATGTCATCAGCATTATATTTAATTCTTTTAATGCTTAATAAAACATGTTTTGCTAAAAATCTCAATTTATATGCTAGTTTAATTAACACTTAGTCAAAATATAAAACTGAAAAGTAAACTCATTTATCTGTACTAAGTGTTAAAAATGATCCACATGAAAAATGTAATCCACTATGAGGTTTGTAATTATAAAGCTCAAAATCAAATATTACGCTTGAGAAATCCAAATTTGAAGTTATTTATTTTTATTTTTAATTTTTTTTGAGTTGGAATCTCACTCTGTCACCCAGACTGGAGTGCAGTGGCCGCTCCTGGCCACCGCAGCCTCGACCTGCTGGGCTCCGGCGATCCTTCCGCCTCAGCCTTTCGAGTAGCCGGAATTACAGGCATGTGCTACCACGCCCAGCTAATTTTTTGATTTATTGTAGAGATGAGGTCTCGTCTGCCCAGGCGGGTC